AATGGAATCTCTCCAAATGTATATATATATATATATATATATGAATGGAGTGATACACAATTTTCGCTTTACCTGAATCCCTAGATTTCATGCGAAAAAATCGTGACGAACACCAACCTTGGCAATGCAATCTTATCAACTCACTCAGATACCCCCTCCCCCCTGGTACATTCGAGAATTTCTACTCTCATGCTGACATTCGTGATGTCCAAACTACCCTCACCGTTGCTTCACAAAGGCACTCACAAAATCAATAATCAATAGTTTCATGGCGATGACAAAACGTATTAACGCAATTGACATAAGTTATTAAGAGCAATGGGAAATGTTTCTTTAAGACAGTAATCAAATTTTTCAACTGATGCAACTTCTACAACATACCCTACAATCTCTCCACCTCTAAATGTTCCAGTTTCAACTAAAAATGCCCGTGGAATGTGATTGGCACGTCAAGACTCATCGTAGGTCTGATGGATGAGTAAACTATTAATCATACATGTAAAAGGAAGAACTGCACCGCCGTAAGGCATTTCAAAGTCCAGTGGTTACTGGCCATAGTAGGGAAGAGTGCAATCATTGTGGATATGATCATTTTTCTAAAATTGTTAAATGTAAATCGCCTGCGAAAGGAAATACCTTAATTGTAATTGACACCCCTATGAAGGTATGAAATGATAGAGGGCAAGGCTCATGTGTGTGGAATTGGCAACCGCACCGGTTAAGTCTGGAGGACGAAGTTGAGTGCCACAGAGGAGACTCTATTATGGTACTATCAATGCTTTCCCAAATGAGTCGGAGTTTATGCCATCTTTTCTAACTACTTTGAGTGATTACTGCCTTCAATTAAATTCATGTTGAGTAGATGAGCACAGCACATCTCATGACACAAACCCTCCAAGATTTTTTAAAACTGCCAACTATTCAGACTCTTTCCTTTTTGTTGGTCGATAGAACACCAAACGCCACACCAATCCACCTAATCGTTGATAATCACCCACAAACAGCTTTATTACTGATTACTGTTAAGTAGAAACGTGTGACAATCGAGTTCTAATGCAGACATCAATGAGCTCACAAACCCATAATTAAGTGTAAATCGGAGAAGTAACAAACGCACGGTTTTTCATTTTACTTACAAAACAGTCATTACAAATGAATAAGTGTAGGTTTGTACAGAATATATACAATGAGGTGAATGAGTGAAACCCCACCCCCCACCTCTCTCCCTCCCTCCATCCCTCCCTCCCTCCCTCTCCCAAACCAAATCCGATCAATATTGCGTAGTTTAAGCTTTCAAGTAGATAGACAATGTTAACCAGTTGCCACCTTTGAATGCACTAGTTCCACTGCACACGTGGAAATGACAGGTGTCAACTTATGCCACATTGATCTCCATCAAAAGTGGCAGTAGCGAGCACTGAAACACAGTGCAGAGTAGTGCCAAGTGGTGAATGGATGGAAAGGGAAGAAACAATCTGAAGTGGGATGGTTCTGAAGAGAACCTTGACGTCGTGCTAACTCGTGTAGGTTGTTGCAGAATACAGGCAAAGTGTTGGATGAGTGAAAACGTCTAGAAGACACCGAGGAAAGATCGACGCTGTTTCACACTGATATCAGCGGCTGCAGTCGAAATCGCTTCCTGTAGATTAGCAGGTGTCGTCAAAGTTGAATGAATCCAAACTTCCGGAAGAGCAGATCTTCGAGATGTAGAATGTGATCGATTCCTACGTGGTGCTGGTGATCGACGATGACGGCCACTGCGATGACTGCTTCGATAGGACTTCTTTCCACTACCTCCTCCTCCTCCACGTCCCCTTGAATCCCCAGTTGCTACCTTTCGTCTTGAACGTGAGGATGATTCGGGGCATTCGAAGACTGCCTGGAAGGAATGTCTGAGATCAGACTACGATCACGAGAACGCTCGTGATGCCTTTCTCTTGATCCACGTCGTCGAGAAAAACGACCACTGTGACGACTGTAGTCTCGACCAGAATATTCTTCATATCTGTTCATAAATGTAAAATTTGGTTTTTAACTCCAACCCTATGGACATAAAAACCACACTTACACTAAATAGCAATTAGGTTATTTCTTACATATTTACTGAACAAATTGGGCTAGAGATGAAAATTACAGAAAAATCCTACTACAGACTACAATCAAAGATAGATTCTGGCGAGACTAAACAAGAAGTCGGACAAAATCACTTCCAACATCGTCAGCCCTGTAGAAAAACAAGAAGAATCTCCTACTAGAATTCATCTCGGAGGAGAAGAGGACCTTAATAACCTCTATTACCTAGACTTAATCAAAATATCATTCAGAAAATTTCGCTCACTCAGCCCGAAGAGAAATCACCACCTCTATCAGCCATGTGGAAGTCATTTCTACTTCAATAGAATACGACTTAACCACGAACCTACACAATCCTACACAGTATTACCAACCTTTAACCCTTTAAGATCGAGCATAATCGACAAATCCTTTTGACTTCAAGCTAAGTAGCTCATTCTAAACTAAATACCAAATCCCATGCTATCTAACCTACCAAAATGGAGTTCCCAATGTTTCGAAAGTACTTTTGAAGAGCGCACCACACACGGTTTTTTTGCTGGTAGAACGCGAATAGCAAATGCGTTTTACATGGACAGAAAATATCTCAAAATCAATTGTTCTTCTCAATTTAGACATAAGAGAAAGACACTAAAGGAAATCGAAAAGAGGGATAACAATTACATGATACCCTGTTTCAAGCTGCCGATACTAACACTAACTAGTAGAGACATCAAAAGCGAGCCAGCTATTTCCAGCCCATTTGATACAGTCTCTTGCCAATATCAACTTCCACGATTAAGTAGGTAAAAAGATTAGAGAAAGGACACAATAGTAACGAAAAACACACCTTTCCTCTGACAGCCATGATGATAATCCCTGCTGTGAGAGCGACTTCAGCGACTCGAGCAATGATTCCCGAAATCTTCCTCTGGACTAGAATCACATGAAAGTAGAAAAAAACAATTACATCACAATCAGACAAAATAGTCAGAGTAAATGCAAGCAAACTTACAACTTGATATTGGGAGAAGTATGAGATGGATTTCTTGCTCCTTGTCCACCACAAATGACTCATGGAATGAGGAGAGGCGTCAGGTCATTGCCTAGACTGAGGAAACCAGGAAGTTGTTTTGGCTGAAAGTAGAGCCAAGTGGAGGTGGAGGAAGGGATTTATTAATGAAATCAGGTGGAGGAAAACAGAGATCGTTGGTGAATGGTGATGGAACATGGCCACCATTCGTGGGAGGAAAGGCAGTAACAGGAGGGAACTTAAGTGGTTGTGCTTGTGCCGAATCAAGATGACTATTTCCACTCTTCTCGGCATCTTCTTCACTCACACATGACGAACGGGCCTGATTAATAGTTGTAATATCTTTGACATGCCGGCTAAGAGCTCCGTTAGCTCTGGCTAAACGATAGTTGCCACCTGATAGATAAAGGCTCACTGATGCCCCAATCACAACTGGTTTGATGGCGGAATTCGTATACTCTTGACGAAGAATCCTTAGCTTCTCAACGTATTCACTCAAGTCTAGGCTCGAAAGTCAGTTGAAAGTCGTCTCGTACGCTGGACTCTCCAGGCATGTCATTAGGAGCAATTGCACTCTAATTTCCTCAACCCACTAAACCACGCCGATAAGATAGCTTTAACTGTAAGAACGCTACGCTCATATTGCATAACCTCAACTACCTCTGTATGGTTTATCTACCTCTTTTACAATAAGACCGTTCTCAAGAATAGCAAGCATTTAATGAATGCCTTTGTTTTAAATATGTGCATCAAAAAATATTCATTCCTAAACATTTTGTCCTTGAGAGAAAATGCTTTTATTTGACTTTCGCGTTTGTATATACACTTTATTTTAGCAGTCATATACATATTCAAGTGCTGCATGGAAGTATACTTCCAACTCTGTCTCCACAACGACAATCCCATGTGGGAATACCATTTTAGTAATTTCGTCTAAAATCTTTTGAAAGGTATTTGTAGAATATTCATTGTGCTCTCCGGTGGTGGTGGTTGTTGTGGTGGTGTTTGTAAGTATGTAGACCTATTGTCGAATGTCTCAGTATTGTTCTGAATTGCCCTTCATCAAACTTTGCATCAGCATACTAGTACCTAAATGTTGGATTAGGAATTCTGAATTCATGATGGAATTCTACTGTTACTTCAGCTGTCTTTACTATTGGTAGGTCCGACACATTTGAATCTCATGCATAAAATTCGCCTATGCTTCAAATTGTCTCGTATTTTTGAGTGATTCCATCACTACATTCCACTTTCTTTAATATCCATCGTCACTTATTTCAACTAGCATATAAGTTGAATAGTCGAATTGAAATTTGTCAACTGATACCACACCTCCTGTTGCTTTTCGTGTCGATTTTTACAATCGATTAACTTGTATTCGACCACAACCAAATGATTCAAAAGGATATGATTTGTTCAATTGTGAAGTAAGTGTATTAGGTTGGCAACTAAGTCATTGTCGATTTCAAATAAGAAGGCAAATTCGGAATTTTTGTTTAAAAATATAACTTTATTCAATTAGATATTGGCCGTCCTTGTCGATGACCTTTTTCCATCGTTCTGGCAGAGTAAAAATTCCCCGTTCCTAAAATGTCTGGTCTTTGCTATTAAAAAACTGAATTAGGTGTGATCCGACATCATCCGCGTTGTTACAAATTTTACCATTTAAAGAGTTTTGCATGGAACGAAACAAATGGTAATCCTCCGAAGGCGCAAGGTCAGGGCTATATGGTGGGTGGTGACAAAACATCCCAACCCAGTTGCAATAATTTTTGCCGAGTAACCACAGATGTGTGGGGCCTTGCGTTATCATGATGGAAAACAACACCCTTCCGCCGATTTGATAATGCCGGCGGCCGCTTATCTTCAATTGCATCCTTCAGATGCATCCTTCGAGTTGTTCAACATACACATTTGAATTTATCGTTTGGTTCTGCGGCATGAGTTCAAAATACAAAATTCCTTTGTGATCCCCCCACCAGACTGACAGCATAATCTTTTTTTGGTGAATCTCTGCTGCTTTTGATACTGTTTGGGCTGGTTGATCTTTCTTCACCCATGATCTCTTGCCACTATCCACTTTTCGTCGCCAGTAACTAGGTTCTTCAGAAATGGATCATTCTCATTGCGTTTCAGTAGCGGCGAATCACAGATGCTAATCCGTTGCGTCAAATGAATTTCCTTTAACTGGTGAGGGATCCATAAATCAAGTTCCTTGACATAACCAAGGGTTTTTAATTTTTTTTCAATGCATGTATGCGACACATTGAGCTTCTCTGCAATATCTCGTGTTGTGCTGCGACGATTTGAATCGATAATGGCCTTGATATGGGTTTCATGCACTTCGACTGGGCGGCCAGATCGTTGTGAATTTTTGAGTGAAAAATCACCGGAACGAAATCTTTCAAACCAATTTCGACACTGCCTTTCTTTTAAGGCTTCATCTCCATATACGGCACATAACTTCTTTTGTGCTTGGGATGCGTTCTTGCCTTTTCGGAAGTAATACAATAAAATGTGTCGGAAGTACACGTCCTGTTCTTTCATTTTTAAATTGGGATAAAAACAAAACTAAAGAACTAAACAAAGAAAATTTTTACTAATTAACCTAGAAGCCCATATAGTAAGAAAAAATATAGGTTAGATGCTCTGGCCACGTTAACAAAACAAAAGAAAGTATAGAATGAATCCGTCAACAAAAACGACAATGACTTAGTTGCCAACCCAATACAACATTTTTAATATCTCTTAACTCGCGTTAACGAACTATCGTGAAAATGTCTGGGAAATATAAAAAACATCCATTTTCTTGTGGATAAGTTTAAAAATAGAAATTAAAGGGATCAAAATTGAAAATGATGGATTTGAGAAATATGCTGAAGGAAAATCAATTAGTTGTTTTTTTCCAAAATTGATAAATTGAGGAGGATTCATACTTAGGGAATGTGGAGAAGGAACCACACGTTTTTGTCATTTTCAAACATGTTGAAATCTATGTACAGATTCTAGTGAAAAAATGGAATTTAAAGATCAAATTTTTGTCGAATACATTATTTTTATACTTGTAAGTGAACTACAAATTTTCATAATTATATGTTGGTATACTTTTGATTGGGGAAATAAGTCAGTGGACAAGAGCTCATTTACTTATATGTCATTTTGTTCATTGTCTCGTCTATTTCTACTCCTGTGTTGATATTGAGACAAAATTGAAACTAATGCGATTAGTATAATCATTAGTTGAGGTGATGAACTTGTTTGACCAAACAATTAACGAAATTCCCACATTAGGATGATATATTTGTCAAGAGTCAAGTTTATGTCAACAGATCGTTCGACTGGAGAAGTGTTGATTGTAAATTATTCTCACTGCAACTTGAATGAATGTAGAAGTCTGATTAGCCGACACGGTCTCTCTGAACAGAAAAATATTCAATTGCACATGAGTTTCCTTCTCTGCACAATCTGGATATAAATCATTTTTAATTTTTCAATTTAAATAATAAAATAATTGAATTTTCATGTTGCTTATTTCTTGCCTTCATTGCAATCTTCCAGTCTCTTAAACAAAATTTTATTTCAGTAAAATGAGAAAAGAAGTTTTAATACCTAAATTTGTTTTATTGTTCAATTTATTCATAAGGAAATATGTATACATTTTTAACATTTTGCAGTCACTTTTTAACGTCGGTTCGCTTGCGACACTGTAGCAGCTGTAGATTGGAGGAAAGGACACGCATCAGGGAAGATCAGTTACCTTCAGGAGTTGATATCTTCCCATTCTGCCCAAATCAGAAATCAACTTCCAAGAACACTTTGCTACTGAGGAGTTCTAAATTAACAGTGCATAGGTCTGGATTAGCAATTCGTCCATTCATTGAGTTTCAATGACATAAAGCTTACCTTGTTGTCTTGATTGTTGTCTTTGTTGAATTGCAACTCATATATTCTTCCTTCGATAGCTGCAGTTAAGAGAAAATATTGTCAGATTTGACTATAGCATTCCAATTACTGACATTGA